AAATATATATATAAAATACTACAAGACCTTAAAATGATCTTAATTTATAGTGCAATAGTAACAATTATTAATCGATAATGACCAGATAACCAATATCGATATAACTCTGATTAAATATGATACCTTTAACTAAAAAATAGTTAAAAAAAAATTTAAAAGAATTATCAGTTCGAATAATTGCTAACACTTTGGTATCTTGACGATTTTAAAGATATGAATATATGTTAAGACTTCTGCTACTTGTAAAAAAAACACGTCTACCAAGCATAAAATATTTTTAAGATATTAATAGAAAAAAAGTTTAACTGGTTAGTATTTGTATAAATTACAATCTGAGATATATCAGAGATAGATGTTGGTTAAGACATGAAAATAGAGATCGTTTAAAGCCTTGTAATATTATATACGTTCACGTGAGTTTTAATTTCTAAATCAATTACTAATCAATTTAAAACTTATATATATACGTATATATATAACTGGCTTTAGACTATCTTCATCAATAATAAATATTATATTGATCATGCCAAAGTCAATAACTTATTGAACCGGCAGAATAATCATTCTGTTAATTTTTTATAAGGTGTTTAGGAATAATGATAATAGCTGTAATTAATCACATCATCTGTGTATTATAAATTAATTATGTCTTGATTACTTAGATTATTAATCATATGATTTTAGACTGAGTTAAATAAATTCAATAAAACTTTTAATTTAAAAATAAAGTACAAATATGTCATGCTAGAATGTTATTTATTTTATTCAATAACGATTTTAAATTATGCTCAGTGATCAGAAACGTGGAGAAATTATAGGTGCTCGAAAAGCAGGCTTATCATATAGAAAAATTGCAGAACTTGTCAGTTGTAATTACAATATTATAGAGAATATACTAAAACAGCACAACTCATCTAAAATGCTATCAGATCATCAAGAAAGCTACTAATTCTAGATGAACCTGCATGCAATTGTCTGGTATATCTTGTTTAAGCAATCGCTATATGACTAAAAAAAAAATTCAAGCTGTATAGAAACAGCAAGAAGGCCAAGTAATAATATTTTATCTGTTATTTTTTTTATTATTTTATTATTATTTTAATTTTTTAAGTTTTTTTTATTAATTTTTTTTTTTTTAAGTTTTTTTTTTTAGTTATTTTATTATTATTTTTTTTTAATTTTTTTTTAAATTATTTTTTAAATTATTTTTTTTAATTATTTTTTTTGATTTATGTTTTTTTTAATTTATTTTTTTTTTAATTTATTTTTTAATTTATTTTTTATTATAGATGGTTTCTCAAAGGACTATTAGCTGTATTCTTCACAGGGCTAATCTGTTTGCATGTGTTGCTCGCTTAAAGCCTTTCATTAGTGAGCGAACTAAAAACAAACATTATGAATGGCTAAGACTATCTTAATTGGATAACTGAGAACTGGAAAACAGTTTTCTGGTCGAATAAAAAGATTTTTAGCCTAATTCCTCTAATCCGCATAAATATGTATAAAAGAGGTTGAGTGAAGAATTCAAGAGTGATTGTCTTGTTCTGGCTATTAAATCAGAAGGAATTATGATGTGGACATGCTTTTTATGGAGTAATTGTAGCCTTTTGTTCAGCTTTATAGCAGCATTACAGGTGTGTTCTATTGTAGAACACTCAGTAACCATGCAGTTCCAACATTACAGATATTGATATATCGATCATTTTACTCACTTATCATATCAGCGGATTTTTATATAATCCTCAAAATTAAGT